CCCACCTCAGCTGTGCAGTCCTTTCGCTTTGAAGTACTTCTCCCCCTTGGCTGCCTCTGTCTGATAGAGGCAGCGAGGTCGGCGGGGAATCGACCAGTCGACTGACTATCGGATAATCATTTGCTTATCGGATAGTCGACTAGTCCTTAACATCCTTAGTGTGTATAGTCTTGTTTCTCCTGTAAGCCTGGATTGTATTTAGGCCTGCCAGTACATATGGCCAGGGCACCTGATGCTGGAACCCATTTTGGCTCTTATACTTTTCCACTCACAGTGAGAAAAGTTCGAACTGAATACAAAGAATTCTCACCTTGGGCAAAGGGGATATAAAGGTGGGAAACCAAACAATAGAGCAGTTCCCAGATGCCAGGAGATCCCCCACTTACCTGCCAGAATCCAGGAGGTGCCCCTTTTGAAAGTTGTGTTCCTAAATGAGGTCAAGTCTCTATAGCTGAGCCCTCCCAGAGCTGAGCTGATTCAACATCTGTGTTGCTGTGCTAGGGGACTGTTACCCCAACTTTGTGCCTTGGCTGGGGGAGACCAGAGCTTCTGGCCCAACAGGACAGGGTGGTAGAATGCCCCAGAGGGCAAGTAGGCAGGCTCAGTGGTAAGATCAGAACACTGAGTGACAGCCCCAAGAGGATCTTAGTGATCTAACCAATCACACCACAATCCCTTCTGAGAGAATTGTTCACCTAGATGTAAAAATAATATCCAAAAGAGAGAGGTTTCTTGGCATAGCAAAGGTTCATTGAGACCCAAATGTTGATCTCTGTGGTGTCAAGGAACCAGGTTCACACGTCGGTCTTAACCTGCATCTTCCAGTCTTATGCACAAAGCCCTATTCCAAGGGCAAGCTTGTATGTAAGAGAACTTCTTTCCTGTAAGAGATACTTAGAAGAATGAAGATATTCTCTAGATTGACCCATACTCTCAGCCCATATGATATTAATTTATGAATCTTTCCTTCACAGTCCAGACACAAAAATCTTGATGATAGATGTCAGACTTTCAAGGTGGATAGCTCATTGGGGATGTCATAATATACTGGCAGTATGCTTGAGGTCACTGAGGCTTCAGAGCATCACATCTCTAAAGATGAGAGTGCTAAGGGCAGCCATTGGGACTTTCAGAGTATGTCTCTACAGGGATGAAAGCCCTGTAGCTTGGCCACAGCTAGTCTGGATCCACTGATTTGGGCTTGGGCTGAGAAGCCAAAAATCACTCCACCTTCACAGGGTCCCAGATTTCAGGCTGCAGCCTGAGCCTGAATGTCTGCAGCAGTTTTTCAGTCCTGGAGGCAAAGCCGCACAGATGCAAATCACTCATCCAAGCCCAGCTGAGAGTTTTTTATCCATGTGTAGACATTCTCAGAATCGCATGCAGGAACAGGTTCAGGGTCAGACAATACAGTGACGTTAGTACACCCTAATCTGGCAAGGGGCAAAGAATCAAAACTAGGGATGTTAAAATATGTTTAATTAAGTAATCTGAGCCTAGTAGATTAGTATTGAGTGCAAATACCAAAATAAAATATAATACTCCCCCAAAGTCATAAATACTTTCCTAACCTCCCATAGACTCTAAATTACTAAGTCACTTCTGAAAATAGGATTCTAGGTTCTTAAGTCACTTGATGTTATTGAACATTTTACCCAATACTGCTATGGGGAGTTGACTCAGTAGCCATCGCAGATTTTGGCATTGTCTCTCAGGTGCTAAAAAACATAAGAAATTATATTTGTGCTTTTCTTCAAACTGCTATGTTTAACAGGCAGAACTGTAAATAGCTTTTACTACTTAGATATGAGGATCTAAATGTAATAAACTTTTTAGGATGATTCATTTTAGATGTTTGTGTTATTTCAGCAATACATAAGGTAACCTGAGGATTAGGTGAAGCATTACTGAGATTGCTTTATCACCTGAAGAAGTACACATTGTTAATTCATGCTGTCACTATTCCTGTTGAATCTGGCTTTTATTCTTAAAGCACTGCAAGTGCTTTTGTAAAATTAATTTACTTTGCCAAGTTGAATTTAGTTTATATTATACATGCCTAAATTTAAAATGAAAAGTTGTGCATTTGTGATTGGAAAGCCAGAGGTTTTTATACAGGATACTTATGGTGCATCAACAGGTACTTCTATCTCTTGGTCATAGGTGTTTTGTATGCACAATTGCTTAAAAATATTTTAGTGAGAGTCCTAGGGTGCTACTGTTTACATTGGTAGTTTCCGAATCAGCAGATTTGACAGATCTCTAGCTCAATTTCCATTTCCTGATGTTTAGCCATGTCAAGACAACCCAAACTGTTTGTGCATTCCAGTAAGTCAGAATTCAAAACTATTTTTTTGTTATGACGTTACTAGAAATGAGAGTTGCCAAATTTACAGATAAAAGATGATGACACTGTTCTCTCTACGTGATTACTGTTCTATGGCTGCTAACTTTTTCAGCATCTATTTAGTTTCGGCTCTGGCATTTTTTATACTGTTTTTATATGTTAAACAATACATCTGTCTGTTAAAATTCATGAGGTAGAAACATATTTGCTTCCTATTAAGCATGCTTTTGATTCTTTGACTTAGATACTACATGGTTTCAAGTAGTTTGTCATGTTTTAGTTTTCTGAGTGAATAGTTTGTGTCTCATGCTATGGTCTCTTGTAGCAAAACACATTACTGCTGATGCGTCAGTAGGTTGTTTTATTAATTCAATAAGAGATTACATTTCTGACTGCAAAGGGTAAATAGTATCATAGGAGTCTAATTAATGGTACTCTATATTTTAGACTATCTCAAAGGTGGTGAAAATGTTAGAACCTGGAATATCTTATTTATCATTTTAAAATGACTGGCACATGGGCTAACTTTACTACAAATAGAAATAGGTATAATTCTCTCACCACTTACAACAGCAGTGAATTTCACCCAAGCTTTCTAGATATTGAGCCTTATTCTGCAAGGTTCCGAGCTCCTTGTAGGAAGTTCTGAGCAGTTCCAAATTTCGCTGGAGTTAACATAACATTATTTGAGCCATTCTGAGCACCTTTCAGGATTGATCCACTATTTTGAGCCATTCTGAGCACCTTTCAGGATTGACCCACTATGTGAAAAAAGTGATAGTGAAAAAAGTGATGCAAATGTAATTTTTAATGGCATGTAGTAGTTTTGAGCCTTTTGATTGTATGTATTACAAAAGCAGGAAAAGCAATTCTCCTCTACACCAATGAAATCTCTATAGATTTGACTATTTGATTATTATCTGTTTCACTGAAATTAAGAACCAATATGTCTCGGGTTGGAAACATCAGAGCCTGAAATTATGAACAGAAGTTATTCTGTTAAGGTAGCAATTACTAAATACCAAAAAGAATTTGATTAATGGGTTATATCTCTACAGCTTATGAAGAAAAATGTTCTTTTTGATGTGCTTTCTCTTTCTGGAAAAAAACCACATATCCCTCTACAAATTCTCTTGCTTCTCCAAAGAAGGCAGCTGTTGTACTTCACATGCATTCACCTTAAAATTAACCAAACTTAGTATCTCAGTAGTTAACATTGTTTCCATAAATGGTGCTTATTTCTGATGATAGTATTTCTAGGCATTTTAAAACTTACACTTAAAACTACAATTAAAAAAGTCTTACTTGGAATATTTAGGTATATAGTATCCTGTGCATACAGTTGGACATTTGCTATTTGGTCTAAATTCTCTTAAGAGTTTTCCTTTGAGCATTGTGTATTGGTTATTATGAATTGGTATTGATGACTGAATTATTAGCTGTAACCATAGTTACATGCTCCTGTCTTGTTTACCAGATCTTTCCTGACAGTCACATATACTCAGCATCAGCCAGCACGCATGGTACCTCAAGTATCTGTTTCATAGAAATGTATGTTTCAGTGGTTGTTTTTAATTGGATTGGGATAAATATTTATTACAACCCACGCATAAATATACTCAAATTAAGTAGTATCAAACATAATTTAAACCTCATCAAACAGATGAAATGGGGAACCAGGGGAGTAAGCCTCCCTGAAACCAAGAAGAAAAGGGGGAGGTAGAGTTTTGGTTCCAAAACTGTTTTCAGTGGGGAAAAAATGTAGTTCTATGTATTTTGCCAGGCGGTGCTTGAATTAAAGTGTTTTGTTTCAGATTTTGGTGCATATTAGTGGAAAAAAAGTGTTGTCAAGCATTCTCTATCGCAGGGGTTCTCAAATTGGGGATCGTGTCAGCCTCCACCCTAAAACCCTGCTTTATTTCCAGCATTTAAAATAGAATTAAATGAAAAACAAAAAGTGCTTTTAATGTATAAGTGTGTGTCGGGGAGGAAAGGGGGGGTCACATCTCAGAGGTTTGTTTTGTGAAAGAGGTCACCAACACAAAAGTTTGAGAAACGTTGATCTATGAGTATTGGAAAAAAATTAAGTTTGCACGTGTACTTCCATATCTTTCATTTGGTGAGATATTTTCCATGTTTAAAGATGAGGTGTAAACAACAAAAAAGCTGTGAGCATAATCCATAAAATGTGGACTTTCTTTTGCTATTTAAATACAAAAGCAAAAAAATCTAAATTGTCCAAAATTAAAAATATATTTATAGTCAGTAACTTGAGTAGATTTTCACTCAGGAAGCAAAATATAATTTTAATGAGGTTCTACATTCAAGTACATCATATCAACTAAGAAAGATATCTTTTAAGAACTATATAGTCCTCACATTATTTTATTAAACTACTGATCAGTAAATGTTTATGAAAATCTTTGAACATATGCATTAAGACATAGGTGCAAAGTATTATTTATAATCTTCATGTAGCTTCATGAAATAACATACCATACACTGAAATTCTGTCAAAAGGAGAGAATTTACAAAAAATATGCCAAGAACATGAACTCTTAGAACTGTATTATACATTAAAGATAAAAATAAGTATCTCTCACGTTAGTTGTGTTTTTTATATATGGAAATATATGTATCACACATTTTCTTTTTTTATATTTATCTGTAGGTGTCTTCAAAGAATGTGGAATCTTTTGCATCCATGCTGAGGCGTTCTCCTTTGGTTCAGATGGGGCCTGCCAAAGACAAAATTGTCCTTGGTCAAATTTTCCACACTGTAGAAGATGATCTTTATATAGACTTCGGTGGCAAATTTCACTGTGTGTGCAAACGACCAGAAGTAGATGGAGAGTAAGTAATACTATGTGATTAATGAATAAAATGTACAGGAAAACCTGAATACCAAGGTAGTCAGAAATCTTTCTTGGAATGATCTCAGATAGGGTCTGTTTGTAATTTATAGATTTTAAACTGCTGAACTATAGATTTCAGGTGGAAAACTAATCCAAATCACAAAAAGATTTGATTTTGCTCTGAAGTCACTACGTTAAGAACAGATTCCCTTACTCTGTCAATCATTGGCACACAAATGTTACAAACTCTTAAACTCTGGAGGGGAATTTCTTTTGTTAAATGTGTGATTTATAACCTCAACATTAACTGGAGAGCCAAAGTAATTTATTTGAATGTTTTCTATCTGTCTTTTAGTTTGGCTATTTAAATACGTAGTCAGAATTTTATCTGTGTATTTTGAAATGCTCATTGGTCACAAATAAATAATGAACAATTGGACTGAGACAAATTGTGCTGTAGCAGATGACATAAATGGATAAATAAGCTCCAGTTTATATTTATTGCCTCTTTCCAGATTACTGCACCACTAAAACATTTGTATAAGCTTTTCTGATGAGTAAAATATCTGCATAAAAAGAAATAGGGAATTAAAATCATGTGTTTCTGTAGAAAATAAGTTTTACTTTTTTGAAGAGAAAGATATTTCTGCAGTTATGATTACAAAGATAGCAGTACAAATGTGAACTGAATATAAACAGATTTCATTGTTTTCTTCCTCACTCTTCCTCTGCAGCTGATCTGGAGGTTGCCCAGTAGCACTGGTAGCAGTGTGAAAGTAACAGCTCAATTTCATTTTTCCTGTTCTGAAACTTGTGGCATTTGATGAGACTGTTAGCTTTATCATGCATCAGCAGGATTCCTGTGAGCAGCAATGAGAACAGGAACTGGAAGTATTCATAAGGAAGCAGGTCCCCTAAAACAGACACCGGTGAGAAGCAGAGTAGTGCAGATAAACTCTCTGGCAGCATATAGGAGGCTCTGAGGAGTCAAAAAAAGACAAAATTCCTTTTCCCTTCCAGCAGCTAGAGGAGGGTGGGGCTTCAGATTTATCATTTACCTGCTGCAAGAGGCTGATCATTAAGGATGGAGCCTCAGAAACATCTAGATCAGGCCTGGGCAAAATACGGCCTGTGGGCCAGATCTGGCCCACCAAGCCACTGGATCCAGACTACAGAGTCAGTGAGGAATCCCAGGCAGGCTCCTCTGCTTGCCCCACAGACCCGCACACCACTCAGAAACACGGCTGCAGTCACTTTCTGTTTGAGTCTGGATGGGTGGTTGGTGGGAGAAAGATTCAGATGCTGCTCCCGTCCCCAGCACAATCCCATTGGCGGTTTCTGGACAGACACTGGCCAATGGGAGCTGCCTGTTTGAATAACAAGCAGCCACAAAGCACAAACCTCCTGCACACTCACTCAAACACATGGCCAAGCAGGCAGAAATATTTTAAGCTCTGCAAGCCTTCAGCTCTGCAGGCAAGCAGACTGATAAGTCTCCTGGCGAGAACCTGCCTCTGGTTCCTCAGCCTCTCCCTTCTCCAACCCTTTGCCCCCCACTTCTGCCCTGCTACTCCACCTGCACCTAATAGAGTTGCTAGATATCCGGTTTTGAATCGAACAGTCTAGTATTTGAGCTTTCTGTTTGGGAAACACATTGAGAAAATATAAATGTCCGGTATTTTCTAAATAAGATGTAATGTAGATTGTGATGTAATGTCAAGTGTGTCCAGTATTTTTGTTGAAACCATCTGGCAACCCTACCACCTATGCCCCCTCCCAGATCTGGCACCCCAATCTCCTGCCTGAGATCACAATCCCCTCCTACCCTAGGTCACATCCCAAAACCCTGCACCCCAGTTCCTTGCCCTAGCTTACAACTGCCTCCTTCGCTCACACTGCCTCCCAGACTCCAGTCTCTCTCCTGCACCCCAATCCCTTACCCCAAGCTCCCTTCTGTACCCAACCTCCATCCCAATCCCCACACCTCCTCCATTTATACCATAGAAGAGTGAGGCCCTGGACCACTTTCCAAAATCTTGGGAGTGGGCCCCTCATCAAAAATGATTGCCCACTCCTGATCTAGAGACCGCATCCCTCATAGGGATACCATTTCTTGCATTATTTGCAGCTGCTGGGGAACTCAATTTCTCATAAGGGTCATGTTCTTGACCCTTGCTGATGGGAGCCCCTCCCCGCCTTCTCTTTCATACCTGAATCTGGCTTGCAGGTTTACTCTTCTGTCCAACAGTTGTCTTCTCAATAACTGTTGGATTTATCAACATGGTACAGTTGCAAAACCAACGTTTATTAAAAATGTGTATTTTTGGTGGAAACTTGAGTGTATTCACTTTCATTATTTTGTTCACTTTCACTCTTTAGTTTTTGTGCATTAGCACAGTGTCATTGTATTTGGGTTCACAAGGGTGTGGTACATTTAAATTCACCCCCAATTTAAAAACCCCCAAAAAAAGGTCTGAAATTATTTGTATTAGGTTGGGTGAAATCCCTCATTACCATACTTAAAATAATGGTCTTAAACTATCTTGATAATAAAAGCCAACTCTAGAGTATTTTGATTTCCAAAAGTTTAATTTGACATAACAGGTTTGTGCATAAGGCTGTATTGTAATTTTGTAATCAAACAGCTTTTGTGTATTCATGATTTTGCTTCCTAATGTTTTCTAAAATAATGGCATAGTGATTTCTGTAGCGTTGCCTCTCTGACAACAGACGTGTTTGACAGGACTGTGATTTTCAAAGCAGATATGATTGACAGCTATAAGGTGGATAGCACGTGCCATGAATAATATTTGTACTTTTTTGACACAGACATGAAATAAACAAGGTAATTTCTCAGTTCAGGCTATAAATAGGCTAAATATAGAGGGGGCTTAATTCTGTGATGTGGTGAGCGTCTCCAACAAAAGATCTCCAGTTCAGTGTGCTCAGCACTCTCAGGATCAGGTCTATAGACTCGACCTATATTATGTATTCAAAGCATTTACATTTAAAATGTGGAATAGAGAGAAAATTCCACGAGGAGTAACAGTAGTTCGGAATAGGAAGCCTAATCTGAACTACCTAGTTCGTGCCGCGTGTAGCCGCGGGCACGGAGTCCGAACTAGCGGACATTTAAAAATGGCGGTGCCCAGCAATATGCAAATGAATCCCGGGAAATTCAAATCCTGGGCTTCATTTGCAACTCCGGTTGCCTACATTAACCACCGTAGTTCGAACTAGGGTGGTAGAGTAGACATACCCATAGAGCTTAAGATAGGAAAATTTAAAAATCAGTGATTAATGTAGATAATATGATGAGAGTGATCAGTAATCATGGCAATCATAAGAGGTCTTAATGTCTTGTGTTAACAGGTAACACAACATAGCACAAGAAAGAGAAGAAATGTATCTCAAAGGAATTTGTCCCTGAGACCAATAAGCAGGCAAGGGTTGAGGTTGCATGGACCCATCTGTAGTGTTGCTTTTCCCCATCTTTCTTTTAAGATTTACATTTTGTACTTGCTTTGTGGTGGGCGGATTGGGCTTGGGCTGATGAGCTGGAGATATAGAGCTCACTGCCAACAAAATACTTAACCATCCATGGATACCTCTGGTTGTTTTAAAATTAGCGTATAAGCTGACAAATCAATTGTTAAGAAATGGACAAGGGAGTCGTGTTTGGTATCTGACTGCTTTTGTTTTAGTTTCAACAATTACATTATGAGATATCTTCTTTCTATACCACACAGTTGAAATAGTCCAAAATTTGGAACATTGGTGCGTGCGTACAAGGGACTTGTGGATCAAAAGCTAATCTGGAAACTAGTATCTTGGCTAGATGCTTTAGCATTTAAGTAGTCCTAAGTATGTTTTGAAGTTATCTCATGAAGAGGAATAAGTGGGAAGGTCATGCCTCTGCTTCTCTGATTAGTTCAGTCTGCTTGCTGACTGAATATAGCAGTGCATTGAGGTTACAAAATGAAGGTTGCATTCTCAGAATACAACCTTCTCATGTTTAATAAGAACCTAGTATAAATAATGTGTGGAGACTTTGCTTTGGATGTTCCTGTGTCCTTTACCTGAGACAAAGACTGACTTCCAGTTTGGAAGCAAATTAATACAAAATTTTTACACAAAAATCCTTTTCTTGGCAGAAGATGCTAGCATGGTTCTTGCCTAGAAAGTGACAGGGTAAGCATATCCTCCCATATTTAGCCTCATATATGATCTGTGTGTGGTTTTAGAGTAGTGGTTCTTAACCTGCTGCCTGCAGGGTGCTTGCATCCCAATCTGCACAGAGCTATGGCCAGTCTGACATCCTCAGGTCCCTACAGGTAATATTTGATGCAGTCCAAAATGGTAACTAGGTTAAGAGCCACTGCTAGAGTCAGACCTTCTCTCAGTGGTGAGCACAGTATTTCACTGTACTTTCTATTAGCACCGTAGAGTCAATCTTGCTGAAGAGTGGACTGATATTTTTAAATGTTTACAGCGTTCTGTTTGTGGATCTTTATTATTGGTAGAGCAAGAGCCAGAAAGGAGACATCTTGACTTTCAGATAGCTAACTATAGAGGGCTAAACTAACAATTTAGAAAAAACATCAGATTTAATCTGCAGTTACTGAAACAGACATGGGACAAGACAGGTATTCTTACAAGTCACTTTTCAGGGTGGAATCATACATTTATACTTATTCCAGCATGCCTTGTATTGGAGATCTCTCTTCTTAATTTGTTCTTCTCTTTGTAGGAATGTTAAACTCTCCAGAAGTGGTATCAATAAGAAAAAAGTGGTAGAAAAAGTACCTTTTACCCCCAAATAATCCTGTTTCGAGCAATGCTTCATCGATACCTTTGATTTATTGCTCTAAAACAGAAGTCCTCAAATTTCTTTGTGCTGTGATCTCCTTCTAACAATGAACATTTTCACAAGATACCAGGAATCGGGAATGAAGTCTGAGCCCACTGCGAAGTCCCGGTCAGGAGGCCACAGTTGAA